TCTTAATAATAAAGAAGAAAGAAGAGAAGGAGGAGGAGAAGGAGAAGAGGAAGAGAAGGAGGAGGAGGAAGAAGAGGAAGAAGAGGAAGAGGAGAAGGAGGAGGAGGAGGAAGAGAAAGGAAGAGAAGAAGGAGGAGGAGGAGGAAATTCTGGCATTTCCAATAACAGGGATGTAATTAAAGAACATTATTCTAGGTGAAATAAGCCAAGCACAGAAAGACAAATACCACGTATTCTCACTTACAGAGGCTGGGGGTGGGGAGAATAGGGAAATGATGGTCAAAGGGTACAGTCTCAGATGGGAAAACTAGGGGTTGGGTTTTTTGTTTTTTTTTTTTTTTTTTAAGACTTATGGCACAGCATGGTGAATCTAGTTAAAAATAAAGTATTGTGCATTGCAAAATAATTGAGGGAAAATTTCAAATGTTCTCATCACAAAAGAAAATAAATATTTGAGGTGATAAACCTTAAAATTACCTTGATGTGGTTATTCCACCTTGTATTCATGTGTCATAAGCACTCTGTATTCCATAAATACACACACCTATAAATTGCCATTTTACAACACCATTAAAAAATTTTTTAATGAAGTATAAACTGTTAGATGTAAAAAGATGAATGAACCTCACAACACAGGGTTGGTAGAAGCCTCTGTATGAATTTATTCATATAAAGTTCACAAACAAGCAAAACTAATATGTGGTGATTGAAGTTCAACTAGTGGTTCTAACTGGGAAAAGGTACAAGGGAGGATTCTGGGGTGCTGTGGATGTCTTCTACATTGATCTGGGTAGTGATTCCATTATGGTGGGTTTTTTTAAGTCATAAGCTAGACACTTAGGATTTTTGCACTTTTTAGGATGCATGACATATCTCAGTAACAAAAGTAAAATACAAAAAAAAAATAGATATTTTCACATTACTGTTTTAGTCCTATGTAAACCATTCCAGGGAATATTACAAGAGCACAGAGGGCCCCATTCTGTAGAGACTTCACATGTAGTTAAAGAGCTAAAGCTACCATACACACATTAGATAAAAATTAATACAAAGTGTGTTTTAGGACTGCCTTAATAAATTACCACAAACTCAGTAGCTTAAAATAACAGAGATTTCTTCTCCCATAGTTCTGTAGGCTAGAAGTTCAAAATAAAGGTCTTAACAGGTTCGCACTCCTCTCAAAGGCTCTAGAAGAAGATCCTTCCTTGCTTCCTCCAAGGTGGTTCCTGGCATTCCTGGGCTTGTAGCAGCATCACTCCAATTCCCACCTCTGTCTTCACATAGCTTCTTCCCTGTATGTCTCTGTATGTCTTCTCTTATTTCCTCTTGTTATCAGGACACCAGTCATTGGATTTAGAGCTCACCCTAATGCCAAGCGACCTCGTCTTAATTAGTTACATCTGCCAAAACTCTATTTACAAATAAAATCACATTCTAAAGTTCTGGGTAGACATAAACCTTGAGGGGAATGCTACTCAGCCTCCTACACAAAGCATTTTTAAATCTAAATTAAGTGGGACCAGGCACAATGGCTCACGCCTGTAATTCCAGCACTTTGGGAGGCCGAGGCGGGCAGATCACCTGAGGTCAGAAATTCAAGATCAGCCCGGCCAGCATGGTGAAACTCTGTCCCCATTAAAAATACAAAAATCAGCCGGGCGTGGTGGTACACACCTGTAATCCCAGCTACTCGGGAGGCTGAGGCAAGAGAATCACTTGAACCTGGGAGGCAGAAGTGGCAGTGAGCTGAGATCACCACATTCCAGCCTGGCAGCGTGGGCAACAGAGCAAGATTCCATCTCAAATAAATAACTAAATCTAAATTAAATGCTGAATTGTTTGGCCATAGAAATTCAAAGAAAGATGTGATCATTACAATCTAAAAAATTAGAGACAATGTCATGGGAACGTTAGACCTTGAATCCTGCTATGGAAACAGCAGATTCAGGTGAGCTACAGTACAGCACAGTCTGGCAGTGGAAGGAAAGCAGCACAGAGGCGGGTCTGAGTGACAGGGAGTGCTGGCTGAGAAGGGGAAGAAAATAAGATTGAATAAATAGAGTGAGCCAAGTTATGAGAGTCCTTGAAAGCCTGGCAGATGAATTTAGACTTGGTCCAATCGGAAATAGGAAATGACTGTAAATTCCTGAGCAAGGAAGTGACATGGTGACAGCAGTGTTTCAGGAAGATTATGTTGGTGACAGTCTGCTGGATGGATTGGAGGCAAAAGTGACTGAAGGCTGATGTATTTTTGTCTTTCCTGTGCTGAATGAATATAGGGTAGCAAGAGAAATGTAGTTTGATTTTGAAAAAGAAAGTGCACCACTGCAATGACGCTCCTAAATCTATCAAAATATGTACCCCATGAATATGTAAAATTATTTGTTAATAAAAAATAAAATATTGGGAAAAAAAAACTTCCTGATCTCATTCTCAAATGGAAAAGTAGCCCAAGTGCCATTGTGTTTAAAAAGCTAATTTCTCCTCAGTTTGAAATTCCTGTTTGGTGAAGAGGCAAGAGCTTACCATAGTTTCAGCATCAGAGTCGCCTGAGAGCCTGTAAGAAATGCAGACCCTCGGCAGGGCACGGTGGCTCATGCCTGTAATCCCAGCACCTTGGGAGGCAGAGGCCAGGAGATCACGAGGTCAAGAGATGGAGACTAACCTTGACAACATGGCGAAACCCCGTCTCTACTAAAAATACAAAAATTAGCTGGGCATGGTGGCACAAGCTTATAACCCCAGCTACTCTGCAGGCTGATGCAGGAGAACCCGCTTAAACCCTGGAGGTGGAGGTTGCAGTGAGCCGAGATTGCATCACTGCACTCCAGCCTAGTGGCAGAGTGAGATTTCGTCCCTCCCCCCCTAAAAAAAGAAAGAAAGAAAGAAATGCAGATCCTCCGGCCCCATCCTAGATCTATGGAATCAGAATCTACATTTTCACCAAGATCCCCAGAAGATTCATGTGCCTGTATACTTCATATTAAGTGAGAGGTGCATTGCCATGATAAATTTGTTGAACTTCTGTAGTTAAAAAAAAAAAAAAAAAAAAAGAAGTGTGGCTATATAATTGTTGAAACATGTTAACTTGAAAAAAACAATGATGAATCTTGTGCCTCCTGTGACAAGGCTGTCACATTGAGACACTCACCAGTCCCAGAGCTGTGGTGCCTGCTCACCCACTTACCCGTCTCATGGGGAACAACTGTTACACGGATGACATGGAGGCATCTGGTTGCCTCATGAAATGTGTCACTTAGTACATGCAGCTGCAATTGAGACATCTGTCTCCCCACTAGTCTGTGGACTCTTGCTCTAAAGTGACACTTTTTGTCATTTGAAATACATCTTCATACTGCAGTGGCTTCATTTCCTTGTTGTGCAAGTATGAGAGAGGAGGGTATCAGACTGGTGCAGATAAGGAAAAGCCAGAAATTCACCTGTCCAGAGCTGTGGCAGGACCACCCGCTTTGGGAGCATGGTTCCAATGCAGCTGAGCATCTCTCCTCTGGCAGTCCACTCCCCAGTTGCAAGTGTCAATAGTTACCCCAGGACATCGGGAGAGTGAAAAGTGTTTTGTAACTATGCCCTCCATGCCATAGGTTTCTAGAAAAGACTGAGTTTGCAAGGCCATACATTGGAGCAAAGCTTTGCAAACTTTAACGTATATCCATATTACCTGGGGATCTTGTGAAAACTCAGATTCTGAATCAGTAGGTGCATTCCCAACAGGCTTGCAGGTGATGCTGATGCTGGTGCCTGAGGAGCACACTCTAAGTAACAAGACCAGTTGGTTGGCAAGGTTACATCAAGCAAGTAGAGGAAGTGATAGCAAAGGGATATCACAGTAGAAATATCTCTGCAGATGGAAAGAAATAAAGTCAAAGATAAGAGGATACATGACCAGACTTGAAATGCAGAATAGAAATGGTAGTAAAAAAAAAAAAAAGAAAGCTGATTTTAAAAAAAATAAATAAAGATGAAAACATAAAAGGACTTTTATCAATATTAGAGCTGGGCTAGTCTTGCAACCTCGAATTTGGTTAACAATACTTCTGCCAGAGACATCCGCAGCTAGCTATGCTTGATGGGGATTTTCAAGTCCCTAGGCCAGCAGGATGATAGGAAAAATATATTGACTCTGGCAGACAAGATCTTTCTCACTGATCCTGGACATCTGGTCACTAAATCTTTCAGAAGGGCAGATTAGATGGTGAATTGAAAACCCCTCCAGCAGAGGCACCAATAGTGATTTTTAAATGAGTATGGAAGCTAGCCAATCTCTTGCCACAGGATCTGCAAAACCACATTACGTATTCAGTGTTATAGTAGAAACAAAAGAAAAAAATTTACCAGACCATATTTTTTCAAGACCCTGAAGGGTTACAAGGACAGTAAAAAGAGTAAAATGAAGACAATTATTCACCCAAAATGCATCATGACTCAACCAAGTCAAGCAATCTGTAGTAAGGGAACTTCCATATAGCAGTAGGAGACCGGGGCCACAAGCTTAGCATTGAAAACAAGACCTGCATAACTTGATGATGTTGCTCATGGGATAATAACTTTCCAAACTGAACATTTCATAGTCAGCCGACTTTACATATAGTTCATGTGTCAGGAACCGAGGGCAGGCCTAAACTCCATTCACAATTTGTCTTTCTGTAACAATATTGAAAAATTTTTTTTAAAAGGTGGCGGGTGGGGGGCTGCAGAGAGACAAGACAACATAAAATTCAAAGAAAGATCAGTCGACCCAGAGAAATCTCCCAATGCCATCATCCCGCCACCTAATGCTATCAATAACAGGGAAAGCAGGTGATGTAATTTAATTAGCAACACAATATAAGCTGTCGGTAAAACCTTATTTTCCAGTGGGAATGAGCTCTACTTATGTTGAATGCTGAAATGAAGTTACATACTTTCTTACATATTCTGATTTTGCCTTCTGTGATTCAACTCGAAGACTGAATAGAGGCCTTGGCCTATTTTCTCGTAAGGAGCACAGTACAACATGCTCTGGGGTCTGCCTTCCTGATCCTGCTCCTGTGTCACCCAATGGTGGGGTCTCAGTGCCTGGGTCTGCTGAGAGGGGGACCCTGCTCCCCTCCACCTCACCTCCTACTCATCACCTCTGATGTTGGACCTTTAAGGTGGAGATAAACAAGAAGTAAGATGAACCATAAACTGTATCCTCTCTCCCTCCCACTTTTACCCCTGTAGAGGCAGCATGTGAGACCACCAGGGCATTCTGACCATCCCATCTCATGGCGTACCCATAACCCAGTTCTTGATTCAGATATAAAATTGATCAGGAGGCATGGCCTCAAAATCCAAAAAATATACATATATAGTGGATTCTACATGGCAAGTGGGGTGCATCAAGAAGTGAAGCTGCTGTAGAAGAGCGTGGAGATGAGCATGAGCCCTATGATCCGGCTTGAGGGTCTCAGTTCTGCCGCCGAGCAGCTTCGACAAAAGGGCACAGTACACTACTCTGAGCTTCTGTTTTCTCATCTGAGAATACAGATAATAATGCCAATGCCACAAGTGCTTGAGGATCAGGTGAATGCATTTTAAAGCGGCAGATACTTGGCCACTTGCCCTACAATGTTTTTAAAAGGAGTCTGGGGCAGGAAACAAAACTGGACAGGTGCTTACAATTGAGTCGACAAGCGCTCACTTGCCATTTCTATTTAAAAAGCCATCTTCGTCTTGAGATTTTCTCCTTTAACAGACAAAAATATCCATAACTTTTCTCTGATGTTCCATATGCCTTTGAGACTATTCTTAATTATTTAGGTCCTATAGCTAAGGCCATTATAATTTTTCTTAGATCTTTTAACATTTTCTGCTTGAGAATTTTATCAACCTTAGGATTTCTATGAATGTATTTGATGGAGTAAATTAATGATGCTTGCCAGAGGTGAGGTGTCCTCTTATCTAGTACATGAATTAAGCTCCACTTGCAAAATGATGAGATTTTCTCTTTCTTATCATTCTTCAAAAACAGAACATTCTTCCTTCTTTCCCTGCAATACCCTCACAGACGGTGAATCCCAGTTCCTCCGCCTCCTTCCAAGCACTGAGACAGCCCTGAACAGATTGTGAAGGCTGCTTTGGGAAAGGAAACCAGCAAGTCTCAGCCTCATGGCTTAAGCGGGGATTCAGACTCTCGTGCAGGAGGCATGATTGCCAGCGAAGCACCAGGCACGCTGCTGGTGGCTCTGTGGCAGAAGCGACACAGCATGTCTCCAGCGTCCAACACGTGGCATTCCCTCAGGCCAGCCTGCTTGCCCCCACACCCCTCATCCCGCATCCCCATCTGGTCGCTCATCACAATGGCTCTGCTGACTTCATGCTCAATGTCTTGGGCCTTCCCTCTGTGGGCCATGGGACCTTATTTAGAGCCATTTCTTCCCACCAAGGAGTTAATCATACGTATTTTCAACAATACAACCATCTGGACATCTGACACCAGTCACCAAGTAATTAGTGGGAAATGTTACAACATATCCAGGGATATTTAATAAATATTTCTTGAATGAATTAAGGAGGCTCAGCAACTCCACATATGCTCACACCAGAAGAGGATGACAGAGAAGCTTCTTGTACTTCCCTGGGCCCCTCCTAAGTACCTTTGAAGGTACAACCCCAAACTGAAAGCAACCTAAATACAGTTTTGTAAAAAATAATGTGCTACACATAGTTTAAAAATATATAGTAATAAAGGTAAATTACACTTACAATATGGTTGAATTTTAGAGACACAAGGAAGAAAAGCCAACTCACTGGAATATATCTTATATTATCCCAAATTAAATATATATACAAACATGTGTCACTTAACAACAGGAATATGTTCTGAGAAATGCATCCTTGGTCGATTTTGTCATTGTGTAAACATTACAGATTATACTTACACAAATCTATGATGAAGCCTACTATAGATCTAGGCTATATGATATATCCTCTTACTTCTGGGCTACAAACGTGTACAGTATATTACTGTACTGAATGCTATAGGCAATTGTTTAACACAATGGTAAACAGTTATGTATATAAACAACGAAATATAGAAACGGTATAGTGAAAATACAGTATTAAATATAAAAAAAGTTACACATATGAGGCATTTACTAGAAGTTTCTCTGGGTGCATCAGTGAGTGAGTGGTAAGTGAATGTCAAGGCCTATGACAATACCGAACACTACTTTAGACTACAAAAACTGCACACTTAAACTACACTATGTTTATTTTTGAAATTTTCTTTCTTAATAATAAATTAACCTGACCTTACTATAACTTAACATATAAACTTTTAATATTCTTAATTTTTTCATTCTTTTGTAATAATACTTAAACAAAAACATGTGAGTAATGCATTGACTGCAATATTACTACTACCAAGTCACAACTGTTACTATGTCACTAGGGGTCAGCAATTTTTCAACTCCATTATCACCTTATGGGACTACTATTATAATACATTGTTGATTGAAACATCATTATGTGGTACATGACTGTACATGTGCATATGTGTATATATACACATACACACACTAATATGTATGCATAATAAGATATTGAAATTGAAACTATAAAAGAAGGAAAGAAACTGAATACTATAAAATTAGAACAGAGGTTACTGCTGAGGAAAGGGAGGGAGGTTATGATACTAAAGAGATATGCAGCAACATTTGGGGTTGTTGCATTCCTCTGACAACACTATACGGGTTGTCTATATAGTAATCCTTGTGTCCCATCCTTGGGGGACTCATCTCAATCTCCCTACTCCTCTTCAGCAATCTCATCCCTTATCTCTGCTCAAAGCATCACCTGTATTCCAATAATTGCCAATATTTATTTCTAGCCCACAGCACTTCCCCCAGCAGACCTGAAAATCAAACTTTCTGATGGTCATTCCCATCAGATATCCACAGGCGTCTCAACCTTAGCATATCCAACGCTTAATTCTTTATTTATTTATTTATTTATTTTTGTAGCCATGGTCTTATTCTGTTGCCCAGGCTGGAGTGCAGTGGTGCAATCACAGCTCACTTCAGCCTTGAACTCCTGGGCTCAAGTGCTCCTGCTTCAGCCTCCCCAGTAGCTGTAATTACAGGCATACGCCAACACACCTGGCTAGTTTTTCTTTATGTTTTAAAGACAGGGTCTCACTGTGTGGCCCAGGCTGGTGAATTCATTATTTGATCCCTAATGTGCTCCTCCACCTTTATGTTCTATCTCAGTTGGTGGCCTCAGCATTCACCCTAAAAATCCTAGGAATAGTCCTCAATTTCTCTAACTCCTACCTCCACTCCCATGCAATCAGTTTCCAAGTTCTACTAGTTTTACTTCCTAAGTCTTATTTGATTCTGTCCTTTCTCCTCCCTTCCAGTCTCCCCAATTCTGCCTCCAATCCTCGGCCTCTCTAGTCTGGGATGTTGCATTAGTCCCTAACTAGTCTCCCTGGCTTCTTCCTTCAAGCCCAATAAAGAAGAAAGAGTGAGCTACATAAACACAGATCTGATTTGATCATTTCTTTGTTTGAAAATCTTCAAATAGTTCCTCTTCAATGAACTGTAAAGCTCATAGCAGGGGTTTATGGTTATATACAACATATCAACCTGGTTACATACAACATCAATTTTTCTCAGACTTGGATGGGCAAACTTCATTTTTATATAAAAATAAATACCATTGTATAATAGAATACAATGAATAATTTGCACTAAGTTTAATTATAACATTTGGAAAGTAAAAATCCAATGCCTTAGTGGACCATACCTATGATGGCATAACCTCAACCCCTCTTCACCCCTCCTTCCCCCAGTAAGTTCTATTTGTTATTTCTTGTCATTCCCAAGGGACGTCTCCCACGTATTCCATAGAAGACAGGAATTTCATATACTTTATGTCCTATGTTAGTCCCAGAGTCTAGAATAAGATCTGGCACATAATATGTACTCAGTAAATATTTATTGAGTAAATAAATGAACCAACAACCAATCTGCCAGCTGACTTCACTACAAGGCTAGATGTGCTTTGTCCTTTCGCTTTGGCTCTGTGATATGGTTTGGATTTGGTCCCCTCCAAATCTCACGTTGAATTGTCACCCCCAGTGTTGGAGGTGGGGCCTGGTAGGAGGTATTTGGGTCATGGGAGGGAATCTGAGTTTTATCTCAGTTGGTGGCCTCACCATCCACCCTAAAAATCCTGGAAACTGCAGTAATGAGTGATTTCTTGCTCTGAGTTCACACTGGTCATTTAAAAGAGTGTGGTACCACCCCCCCCCACCGCATCTTGCTCCCCCTCTCACCATGTGAGATGCCTGCTCCTGCTTCACTTTCCACCATGAGTGAAAACTCCCTGAGGCTTCATGAGAAGCTGAGCAGATGATGGCGCCATGTTTCCTGTACAGCCTCCAGAACCATGAGTCAATTAAACTTCTTTTCTTTATAAATTACCCAGCCTCAGGTATTTCTTTATAGCAATGCAAAAACAGACTACCACATGCCACTGTTTCCCACTTTTCCACCTCTGCAGCCTGCTCAGCCACTCAGAGAAACATCCTAGCTGCCCACCCCCCCACCATCAAGGTTACACCATTGTCCGTGCCAAAGGACATGACAGAATAAGGCTGGATCCATGCAGATGCAGGACAATGGTCACCTAAGCTCTGAAACAGTTCTGTTTGTGCCTAGAGTCTCAAACACCCTTGGGGTTTCACCAGTTCCCAGCTAACTCTCTTTGTAGGCAGCTCAGAATCAATCTACAGGGTCCTGTAGACCCCATACCAAACATCCTCTTTCCCCAGCCTGTTATAAAGTGATGACATCCACACATCACAATGGCAACAAACATCCTGGAGGAAGCTGTAAACCAAACTGCTAACTATGAGTATAAAACTAAAAAGAAGTTCCGTTATTTGGGCAAGCCTATCTGCAATTTGGAGAGTTTCTCTAGAAAACTATCCGGCCTCTAGACCTCAGCTTAAGTGCTCCCTCTCTAAGAATGCATCTGATCCTTTACATCCTCATTCAAAACTACACACTCCCTCAAGAACTAGTGCCTACTTCTGCTACCACAGGGTGCAGCCTCGGGTTTGTGGAGCCATAAGCCAATACAGTTTTCAAGACCCTTTTTAAGCAAAAGAATACAAAATTACAAATATAAAATTAGAATGCCAAGATAATATTATTTATAAAGGGAAAAATTAATACAGATTTTTTAAATCTGAAAAACATACTACCTATCCAAAATATAGAAAAAAACACATATTTCATTAATTAATGGCCTCATTTCTCTAGAATACCTTTCCTACCTGTTTTCCTATTTGTTGGTTGCATACTCTTTATCGTCTTTTTAACAATAATTTTGTAATATTACTTTTCATAGAGAGAGGAGGAATAGAATTTGGTCTTTCCCATGCGACAATTGATCAGAATTTATTTTATTATTGAGAGTTGGGCTTTATAAAACATGCTACATTATACATAGAAAAAATCTCTATACTGTTACAAACACAGAATTTCTGATAAATTCTATTTCACATGATTCTTCTCAAAAAAATAACATACGGTTGTCATTTTATATTAAACATCTTCCATTTAAACTGAAGATAAATGAGAATCAAAGCCTTCGCTTACAGATTCCACAATGGGAAGAATTTTCCAAGGACTAGCTTCTGGCTCCATATATTTACAACCTTGTTTTGTCTCCACACACTTTCTTTTTGTGCCAGGAGTGTGGAATATATTCACATCAGTTTAAAACTGGCCCTGTCATGCCCCAATGTTAGGTGAGTTGGCACAATGAGCAATGCAAGAATTCCTAGAAGACATTTCTACACCAAGATGATTAACAATAGCTTAAATATTCATGAAAGCAACCAAAAAACACATAAACATAATGCATCCTCAGCTCGATTCCCCTTATTGAAATCCAAAAAATGCCCACTGCTAGTCTTATGTTATTTAACACAGGCAGAAGTAAGATTCATGGGAAGTCAGAATAGAGAGAGGGCGCTCTTACCTGAGTGTGATTAAAACAGCTAATATTTGCATGTTTTACAAAAACATATGACCATGTGAACACTTTGCCAGGGCCTTGGAACAGGCCCAGGGAGTAAGTGTTCTGAAGCTTAAGCTTCATTAACTTCACAGAAAAATCCATTTCTAATCACTGCACTTACCAGATTGCATATTAATTAATTAATCATGATAGCTGGGAAACGATGGCTAATGAAAAGGAAGAAGTCAGGCAGATCTTGCAGAAACTGCAGGAACTGGTAGATCAGCTCTATTCATTTCAAGACTGCAATTTCAAGACACGTAGTGTTGAGAATGCTGGGGGGAAGCAACAGGATGTGCAGGAGGAGATGCAAAAGACCCTGCAGGAGATGTTGACGACCCTGTGGCAGATGGGGGAAGTCATAGGTTTAATCCAGGGCAAAGTGCAGCAGGGATGCTAACTGGAAAGGCACTGAACATGACTCCTGACTGTGTCTCTAAGGCTGAGGAATTTCTATCAAAGACTGTGAAGCTAGAGCCTGAGCTGGTGGAAGTCTGACACCAGTTGGGTAAGAGATACTAGAGAAAAGGGGATATTGCAGCTGCAAGAATAAAGTCTCCCTACAAAACCTATTGACAGCGCTTCACCAGCTGCGGAGTAACACTGGAGATGAATATTCTTATCATGTCATGGACAGTCACCAATAGGCTAAATTGGCTGTGATGATGAAGGTGCACAATGGCCACTCCTGGCATATTCTGGAGAACGCATACTTTTCTCTTCACTTCAATAACAGATCCCTAAGATCTCCTAGCAAGCCTTCTGCCTAGGTCCAAGCAGAGAAGGTTGACAGGAAGCTTTCAGCAATCCTGACCTTCATCAAAACAGAGCGATGTTACAGAAACATAAACGAGTAATGAGAAGGTCCTGGGGACTTTTCTTAGGCTGCAGCACTGGACCCTGGCTGGCCAGAGCCCTGGCAACAAGAACAACTCCAGGAATTCCTGGAGAGAACAGCCAGCCTCTTTGATAGCAAGGGAAAGATAAAGAACAAAAAACTACAGAGCTAGGAAGCTTGCACTCAGCCCATCTAGGCCCTGTGGTGATGGGCACCGCCCAGTCAGCCTCTGGAGAGAAGATGACCCCAGACCTCAAGCCACTAAGTGTGCTGCATTGTGTCTTAGTCCATTCAGGCTGCTAAAACAAAATACCTTAGACTGAGTGGCTTATAAACAACAGGAATTTATTTCTCACAGTTTTGGAGGCTGGGAAGGCTAAGATCAAGACACCACCAGATTTGGTGACAGTAAGAGCCCCTTCCTCATAGACAGTGTCTTCACACTGCACCCTCACTTGGTGGAAGAGGCAAACAAGCTCCCTTGGGCCTCTGTTATAAGGGTGCTAATCCCATTTATGAGGATTCCACTGTCATTATCTACTTCCCAAGGTGTCCCCCACCTCTTAATATTATCACTTCAAGGATTAGGACTTCAACAGATGAATTTGGTGGGGGACACAAGCATTCAGACTATAGCATAGATTTTCAGTATATTTACTTATTCAACAAGAATTTAGTGAATTCCTACTATATACCAGGTGTTGTGTGCTAGGGCCTAGGGATTCCACTATGAGTTAAATCAGGCATAATCCCCAGTCACACGGAATATAGAGCCATAGGGAGGTGCAGACATTGATTAAATTATCACACTAATAGCAGGATAATTACAAACTGAGGTAAGTGCTAAGAAAAAGAGAACCCACTGCCATAATGAAGGATGTTGGCCTATCATTTGATTAAAGATAGCTTCTGTACAAAATAAGGCACATGAAGCTGAGGTTTGAAGGATGAAGAAGAATGAACTAGTTGAAGATGATCAGCCTTCAAAAACAGCATCCAAATGAAGGAGCAGCATGTACAAAATTGCTGTGACCTCTATCTATCAACCATATACTTGGCCTTCT